GAGGGAGGACGCGAGCGCTGCTGCCGGCGGCCGAGAGCGGGAGGCGCGCGGGGCTCGGCGGCGCGCGGAGGTGAGCGGCTCGGCGCGCGGGCTGTCAGGGGTCTGCTTCGGCGCCTCGGCTGCCCGGGCGGGTCGGGAGGTCGCGGGGCTCCGAGAGGGTGGCTGTGCACCCCCGGGGGTGCCCCGAAGCCGCGGCAGGACCGTTGCTAGGCGGGAGGTCCGCGCGTCCCGGGGTGCCGGGGCTGGGGGCAGGGGCGCGCTCCATCGCTGGGCAGGAGGCGGGGGGCTGCGGTGGCTATTCAGGGGCTCCGTGCGTGCGGCAGCCATGCAACCGAAGGAGGCGGGCGGAGGCAAAGAGGGAGAGGAGGAGGGAGGGGAGAGCCAGCGGAGAGAGCCAGCGAGCGGGCGCCGCGCCTCCTGGCTGGCACCGCGGCCTGGAGCGAAGTGGCGCGTGGGGCTCCGAGGGAACTTGGGCCGGCGTGTGCAGCCCCGGGCTACGCGGCGCCTCCGGGCTCGGGCGGGGCGAGCCGAGCCTCTCAGCAGCCACAGGTGGTTCCTGCCAGAAGTTTTGATTGTACTTCTGCCGGGAAGGCTGGAGTGCATTTGGGCCAGTGACGGTTTTCTGGTACTTGGGAACCCGCACCTCGCGCTGTCTTTTCTTGGACGTTACGAAAGGGGCTGCCAAAGTGGAGGGGGATCCCGCACGTCTCAGTGAGGCCCCAGGGTTGCTTGGCGGCCGGGACTCAAGTGGGATGCCCAGAGGAACATCTCGGCTGCGGGCACATGGGGAAGCTGAGGGAAATGGGGTACGCACACCATTCCTCGGGGTCTTGATAAAGCGAAGCAGAGTCCGCCCAGAAACCTGTCATCCTCGCTGGGCTTCTGAAGAGCTTTTTTTTCCCCCAGTGACGCACACGCGGTGGAGATCTCTTCCTAGCGACAGCCCGGGAAACCGCGTGCGCGTCTTTGCTAACCGTGTGCGCCCCTCTTGCTGGATTGACAGCGAATTGTCTCGGAACGCTGGGAGGCTTTGTTATTCGCGCTGTTGGTCTGCTTTCACCAGAAGGTGTCCCCAAGGTCCCTTTACCCTTCAAATCTGCATAGCGGTGGAGACCAGCACTCAATCGAGCCTCAAGTCCACGGCTCAGGGCAGAAGCAGCAGAGGTGCGCAGCATGTGCTAGCAATGTAAAGCTGGGGCTGGGGTTTCTGAGGCTTTGGGAGAGAGACAGGAGTGGACCCCGGGCGAGAAAAACACTTAAAAGAGGATGTTCTGTGTCCAGCTTTGAGAGAGAAAGTCTGAGGTTCCGTGGATTGGCTCTGTTCCTTACTGGCCAGGTTGGCTCTTCAGGGCAGCAAGATATATAACCACCAGGGTAGGTCCGGCTTGGGCTGAAAGGAACCGTTATTCCCAGAGAGGGTCTGATACCTGGTGTTGCAAGTAGGTACAAAACCACCGAGAGTTGGAAACACTCAGTCCTTCATTCTCCTTGGTCCTACTTTTCACTCGACGTCCCCCTGCTACACCCACAAAGCTCATGAGCAGGGAAGGAGCTCTTTGCGTTACAGAAGGCCGCAGGATTTGGGGAAAGAAATTGTAGGCATTAAGAGAACTCATTCTATAATGAGCAATCCCAACACTAAGGAAGGGAGTGACTTACCACAGTGGTAAGGGAGCATGGAAACTAGAAATGACATCAGCAGCCCAGGCCAGCTTGGACAGAATTCCCTGGGGCAAGGCCTCCTAGGCTTGGTGACAGAAACCCCACCCCTGCCCCTGAGCCCATTATGGGCTTATTATCTGGTACTTCCTAAATTCATACTTTCCATCAAAGACATTCAGTTTCCTGTCCCCTGTCCTTGACCCAACAAAAATCAGGATTGTCACTGCGAAGTCCAGTGTGACACGGTCCCAACTTTTCCTGCACCCTCATTGCCCCAAATCTCCCAGATTCCTTGGGCGACATAATGTGGCTTGATTAGCCAAGATAAGTGTACAATTTGTCATGCTGAAGCACCCACTTTCTGTAGGGTGCCAGAACTGTTTTCCTGGTAATTAGGTTTTACAGATATTTTTGAAAGGGAGCCCAATTTTGGATCAATTACACTTGGACACAAATTCAGTGCTGTTGTGGGTACCAAACGAGAGAGATGAGCAATTATCTGGGGGTGTTGGAATGAATGTTGTTATGAGTATTTGACATAGCTATTAAGCATCAATGAATGGGTTTTCAGTAAATGTTTTTTACTCTGTATTTTATTGAGTAAACAAGTGTCTTAATTAAAAAAGAGATTTGAGTTGGCCACTTATATTTTAGTCACTTTTTCCTTACCAGCGTATGTATGTGGTGTGTGTGGGGTGGTTTGGGGGTGGAATGATAATGATTAAAAAGATTTTTTTTTCAAACCTAAATATTCTAGGGCAAGGCTTAGCCTTCGGTCTGTAATGTTATACATGGCCAGGCAGAACCTTACCAAGTCAAAATAAGACTGGGTGTGGTATGTGCCGATCTGTATTAGTCAGAAATTACCAGAAGGTATTTTCTCTGAACATTCTCTAAATTTCATTGCCCTCAAGGACATGTAGTATGAGGAATTCAAGGCTAACAGTGCCACAGTTTGTAATATCTCAGCTCTCTTACACAGACAAGGATCAAGGTCCCTATTCCCATGCCTGGGACTCTGTAAGAAAAACAAAACAAAAAACAAGATCTGTAATCATAATAAGAATAGAATCTTTTGCCAATGCTGTCCACTTCCATTGCATGCTAATCTCGTCAGCATGCCCAATAGCTACATAGATGGGGAAACTGAGGCATATTAAGAGTCTGCTAGTGTATTAGTCTACTGTTCAGCTTGGACTTCCCAGAGGTGATCTGCTGCAAGAGACTCTTCTGCAATGCTTTGGACCATTGCATTGCTCACGCTGAAGTAACGGGGGAGGGGGGAGGTTACAGTTACAGTTGATTGAACACCAGTCACCAGGGCATCTTGTTCTCCCCCTCCCCATGTTGGCTTATTGTCTTTCTTCCTCTAGAAGGCTATGGGAACTTGGGAACTGAGGAACCGGCTGGCTAAGGCTGGGGCAGGGGTGTGAGATCTACATCTGTGCAGGACTGAAGAAGTCAGTCTATTTATAAAGTCCCTTTCTAGGGAAGAAGAGGCTCAGGGCTCTGGGAACCATCTCCAGTAGTGACTTCTCTCCAGGGTGACCATGTCCCACTGAAAAAAAAAAAAAAAAAAGCCTACCACCCACCCATGTCAGACTGATCCCTGATCTGGGGAAAAGCGCCCACAGGGTTTCACAGAGCCTTACTGCCTTGGGGATTTAAGCTCCAAGGACTCCCTAGAGTCAATATGTGCATCTTTTCTTGAGCCCTCACAGGACTGAACTGCTGAACAGAGTGTAGCTGGCTTTTGAAAACAATGGCAGCAACTATTATTATGCAGGAGACATGGTCCTCTCTGACTCCAGACGCATTTCTGTGTGGTGTTGGAGGTCTGAGGCTGGCACTCCTTCTCCACCTGCCCCACCCCCTTCCCGGTGGGTCCCCTTTATAGCTTACTCTTTACACCAAACCCAAATCCTCTTTTGTCCTTGATCAATAGTACCTGTCAGGATGCTGCTTACAGCTTCATTCCTGAGACTCCAGACTTTCTTCCTGGGCTGGTGGTGGGAGGAAGGGAAAGCCACCCTCCTGTATTTGAATAGACCTGTCTGCAGGAACCACCGTAGGGCCACTGGGGCTCACAGGAGGCTTCACTAGGTGGGAAGATTTAAAGAAGACTTCCTACATAGAAAGGAGACGTAGTATAGGTCCTCAGGGGCAGGTACATAAGTGACGTTTGCCAGGGCAGGGCTTTTGGATGGCTCTTCTCTATAGGCTGGGTGCCCAGTTCAAGGCTGGCTTCATTAACAGTATCATGGGCTGAGTCTGGTGAATAGGAATCCAATTGGCTTCTTTATGGACAGTGTGGCATGGAGAAAGGCATCTTGGGAGGGCAAGGATGTAGCAGCGGAGTGTGGATAAGGAGTGAGGTTGTCTGACTAGCATTTTGAGAGCCTTGAGGGCAAGCTCATTGACTATGCACTACCATCAGGCATGCAGGAAGCAGCTGCCAGGCCAGTAGGCATGCAAGGAGGCTCCTGCAAGGAGGCAGGGTGGGCCTTGCCTAACCTGTGGCCACCAGGAGCTTGATCTCTTCACCTCCCTACTCCCTGCACTTCACACACCATCCCTGGTTTCTTGAAAGAGCTTCCCATTCTGGCTTGCTCTCCTTTCTGTTCAGAATGTCCTTCCCTGTGCATCTCCCAGCTGGCTTTACCTTGTCACAGCTGAACGATCATGTATAGTGCAAAGATAGTGTATTCTTTACCATACCCAGTGCTGCTGTGCTGTGATTTTGGTCCTTTTCTTTACTGCTTGTCTTCCCCACTGGAGTCTTAGCTCCAGGAGGCCAGGGACCCTGTTTAAATGTTTGTCGTCCTTTCTTCCACAGCAGAGCTGTGCTGGCATGCTGAAGTAAGTAGCTGAGTGCCTGTTAGAGCTGTTGGGATGTATGAAGAAAAGGCAGCCGGGATCTCCACACACTAGGTCTCTTCAGCCCAGAGACAGAAATAAAGCTCGTTATAGGTGTTACGACATATAGCAGGAAGGGAACATGGAATTCAAGAAGCATTCGTCGTTGTCAAGGTTGGTGTAGCTTGGGTAGAGAAGTCTCTATTGGTGGCAGGACTCGGCTCCTGCCCCCATCTCTCTCTGGTGAGCAAGAGTCCAAGCATAATGCCACCCTTGGAGAGTCAGAAGTTGTGTTTTTCCACCGGCACCATTCGTTGGCAGCATCTTCAGAACAGCTGTGGACAGTTGCTTGCCAGCGTGGATCCAGGGAGGGTTCCTCTCCAGGGCCAGGGGCACACTCAGTCCCACAGGAGCAGGGAATTTCATTAGTGGTTCACACCCTGTTGACTTACAAACCCCATGGAAACAGTGCTTATAAAACAACAACAGATTCACAAGGAACCCTAAAAAAATGATTATCATCCCATTTACTGCTGCTTATTTTCTGGTTAT